GAATGTTTAGTGAAGACATTTAACAAATTAAATTGGAATTCAGTGAAGCGGGATAGATTTTGTTGTAGGTGCCACATTTAAAATTCAAAGTAACATTCAAAGATGGGTAAAAGCCATTTCTCCTGATCCTTTGGCCTCTGTAATAAAAGTGTTTCTTGAAGATTTATTATGCCAAAATAAATTCTGAGGTTGATTAGCCCAGGGCTTCAAAGAATCATTTTCTACACGGTAGAAAGAAATTTTGGTAAAACCGTTCATCTGAACACCATTGGTTTAGCCTGTGTACAGTGGAGTGCACCACATCTTTCCTGTCTGTGTCAAAATCTGTGTCAAATAATTGATTATGTAGAAATATTGATCTTAAAGTAAGTGATATATTCAGTAAATATTTGTGAAGTATTGATCTCACAGTTAGTGATATATTCAGTAAATATTTGTGAAATATTGATCTCATAGTAAGTGATATATTCAGTAAATATTTTTAATCTACTTGTTGTTTTGCATTTCCCTGTGCACATCAATTAGAGAACAAGATCCCAGTTGTTTATGCCTCAAACCCTCTGCAGCTACACTTCCACATCCTACCTTACCCTGCATCGATGGATGTTAATTATAGAAGTTGTGTTTATAGGAGCATGTGCATGTGAAATTTGATTGTTTCCCCCCAAGGGTCCAAGAGTACCCTAAGGAGATATGTATTACACTTTGCGAAGTCTCATTGCAAAGGGGTAGAGGAAGCACATACGCCCTTGCTACCTCATGTTGTGCATCGCCTATTGTTCTCTCCTGTTTCCTTCTCCCCCTCATCTCTCTCGCTTTCTCTCCAAACTTCTGCCCTGTAACACAAACCAAGGAAAAGAAAGGTGAAAGCCTCATTTTTTAAAAGACCTCCACTCATTATTTTGCTTGTACTATTTCTGATGCCCTCCCAAGGGGAACGGTATTGACTGACTCTGATATCAGCAGCACCTATTTTCAGGCAACAATGAAAGAGCGATCGGTCACAAACGCTGGATTCAATTTCTCCGTAGCGGTCACTATCCTTAAGGCATATGGAGGCAATGTTTTTTGGGGGGGACATGGAATTACTCTGCGTGTGGCACAAGGATTTTATAACAATGAACTGTTCCCTCAGGTCGGCAGACTTTAGCAAAAGGGGTAATGATCACCTGGTGTGAACTACAACCACCCAACACCCTCTCTCTCCCTCTCTGCCCATTTCAGCCCAAACTCGGATTATACTTTTTGATTCTCTTGCTCAGGCAGCTGACAGGCAGAGGAGAGGAGGAGCATGAGAGGAAGACAAGATAAAGACAGATAGACAAAGTCTGTACCCAACTCAATCTAACACAGCCAAGACAAATTATATGTTGTCTGACAGCTCTACGTCTCCTGACTCGGAAGCATTTTGGATTCCCTTATCACTGCAACAGCTGTTGACACAGAATTGGGTACAGATTCACCACAAAAAGCACCCGGCTTATTAGCAATTAACATATAAATGACTACATTTATACATAAAAACAAAGTCTGATAGTTCCGTTACTGACTTTACACAGTTTACAAAGAGACTCAATTGATGACAAAGCAGAAAACCTCTGCACTGAATTAGATTAGACTGTCATTTTTTAAATCTGCTCCACAGCAGCAATGTTTTAAATAGAACTGCTAATGTATTTAAATTTCATTATCTTAATTACAGTGTCTATCAAATGATAGATGTTGCAAGTCACAGTCTAGTTAATTTTTAATATTTCACTGGGACCGATACACTATCTTTTCTTAATTAGCTGTATGGTTGTGTTGATGGTGTTCGGCTCCCTGGAAGACGTCAGTTCATGCAGAAACTTGCAGTCCGGATGTTACACAGGGCTTCTCCTGTGACCTCTCCACCCCAACTCTAATTTCAGTCCCTCTCAAAAGATGATGCATGACTGTCTCCACCAACTGCAATACCAGCTAAAATGAGATTCGGGACAGGAGCAAGGGAATAAGGGAAGGGAACCAGCTGGATTCATATTCTTATACTCAGCTCTCAAAAAGTATTTGTTGCAGGGGCTTGTGAAGTAAAGTCTGACCACATTCTAACCCACTCAAGCTAACATGCTCACAATGACAGCGTTGACATGCCGATTGCTGATTATAAAATCTATTATTCAATGTTTACCTTCTTAGTTTGACATTATTTAGTTGCACTAAACAGAAAGTGCAGCAGAGGCTGCAGGTCATAAACCAAAGTACTGGACCTCTTGGGTATACATTGCCACCAGTCAGTCAGTTATCGAGCCTTATTGTGTGTTCTGTGTTCAATGTCGATCCATGCAAAAGACATTTCACTCAAACCACAGATGTCAACCTCAACATTTTATAGCAATCCATCTGATTCACTCATTTATTCGCTGTAGCACTTATCCATTCGGGGGATAATTGTAAATATACATTACTAAAAGGTCCCTATATAACTTGTTTAGTGAGCATGCGGGTGCAGGTTTGAGATGATGAATCACAATGCTATTTACGCACGAATCCTCCATTTTCATGCTTTAAAAGGAAAAGCTTAGTGGAGGGCAGTTTGAACACCTATACCTATTACCCGTTAAAGATCGCAGGATTGTGCATGTGCCAACATCAAATAATTCTGCTCCCACCTCTACATGACATTTCCAGCCTTTAACAACCCACCTCTATCAAGTGGGCCACATAAAATGACATAAGCACTAATGACAATAGCCTACTGCATCCATTAGAGGGAAGTTATTTACAAGATGAATGCTAACTAGCAATATCAAATTCATTGGACAGATCACAAGATGTAAGTGGCGCTATTGCTTCCACATCACTGATTGATTTCTATATTTAGCTTTAATTGTTCAAGCACTGATTGCCGTGTTTGTACTGACGGCATGTCACCGGCTCCAACCGCACCTGACATCTGGTACTTACAGGAAGAAATGGCATGCTACTCTTCTATAAGAACCAGAGACAACATAAAGGCTCAGTGGTGAAGCCTGTCTTACACAGAACTAAAGATATCATTAGTGAAGTGGTGGAGAGAGAGAAAGACTTTGATTCTGCACCAGTGGTTACAAAGATTGGATGATGAGATTTCCAACCCGACCAAGACGGATGCTGTCAACTCAACCAGCCCCACCTGAAGCATCCCAGCGGGCCTCTTTCAACACCGCTAGACGTCTGCTTCACCCTGCCGCCACGACGTCGTTGAAAAGAAAACTGCAGCTGTGGGAGAGGTTACGTCTGTGAAAGAACAAGATCACCAGAAACCGAAGGAATCTGAATTGACTTATAGGTCACAAGACGGCAATCAAACCATCTTTTTGACAGCTGAGCAAACTCCCTCTGCATTTCGTCAAGTGATATTCCTGAATTCCCACAACGATAGCTATCTCATTAGTTTAACTTTCTATTTGAAACCACTGTGTAGTTGACTCGTCAGAATGTATCAGGCAAAGTTGAGACAGGCATGATTAGCATAGAAGAGGATGTCACAGACAAATACATAATTCATCCTTGTTGAACCTGGGTATTAAAATGTCAAACTGTTTCTGTAGGCCAGTGACATAGCGATAGACTGATTAATTTTTTTGGAGCAATGTGAATTGGCAGTGAATTGACATCTCTCTTAAACTACTCAGATAGTTCAAATTTAATCAGACAGGAACTTCAAAGAGTCAAAACTCTATTTTAACATTTAGAATATTGTTTGATCAGAGCTCCGGTGCAGTGACCATTCTGTGCAAGTTAGACCATGTGCCACAGTCTCATTAGATCTAATTCATAGATGTAAAAAACAATCATGCATCCAAGGGCACAATAAAACCAAGATGTTAAGAATTAGAAACAGCTACAAAGCAATAGTTAACGAACCAAGTGTGATGGAGAGGATGAAAGAGTGGGACCAGCATAGGTCGACAGAGAGGTTCAAGTGTGAAGCAGGTAGGAATGAAAGGTATTAGAGGAGAGAGAATGAGAGACTGTGCCATTTACCTGCATGAGATGTATTTGTGAGTGATGAATGGGGGGTGAATACCTGTACTTTATCACCTCACCTTTGCTGTATATTGTTCACCTTCTGTAAAACAATTCAATTGTTCTCAACAAATGAGACAACAACTCAGATTAACTCTATACAGGTATGAACCAAAAGAGCAGATGAGAAATGCTGGTGAGCACATAGGTCCGACAGTCCGCTTAGATTTAATCACGCCAAACCAAACTGTACACACTCATCGATGTCAGTCCCATAAATATTTTTTTTTTTTCATCAAGATTGATAAAATATTCCCCAAGGGAAAAAAACACCCTATCTTGTAAGGGAGAACATCATCCAGATTTGCACCAAAGTTGAAGGTCTCTTGACTCATACTACATCCACCCCCAGACACCAAGATTTGTGGGATGACAGACAAATAAACAAACAAACACATATGAAACCCAACCTCCTTTGTGGAGGTAACAATACAGATCCTTACTGCGCCCTGAGCTGATAAAGCTGCACACAGACTGGACATGTCTGCAGTAGCCAGGTCCAGATTAAAAAAAGGTAGGTACAACTTAAAAACCTTTTTACCCTCGTTATTGGTTTGTGATTGAGTGACAGTGTGCCTGATTTCAGAGTTGGGTTTGTTTTTTTCCAAAGCTAAAAGGATTTGGCTGCCTTAACCTCCATTAATGATTTTCTCGGCTTTGAAGGAGACCCCTATTTTCAAGACGGTCTGGCTGCTTTGCAAAGAGAGAAAAACGCTGTGGCAGATGTCACTCGAGAAGATGGAGTTTAGTCTGGATTGAAATCAAGTAAACAGATAACCCTGACTTCAATATAAACACAATGGTGGTGACACAAAAGGCTGCGGACTAGAACGGTCCAGCACGACCGCATTGATTTAAACACATTCTTATATACTTTTGTGATGACGTACATTCATGAATGGGATTTTATACAAGTGTGTCTTCTCTGAATCCTAGTACACACATCACAGCTGTTGAGGAAGCTGAGCCATGTGTTCAAGTGTTTTGGTGTATACTGAACAGAGGGCGGATTATATTTCTTTGACAAATTTATCAAAGAGCTTTAGACAAGACACTGCAGGTGAATAGAGTCATTTTAAATTATAGATGTCACCAAGAAACATCGGATTACTACTGATTGTCACAGGTTAAACTGCAATAAACCGACACAGCAAGTTCAAGAGTTACATTAAACTGTAGTTATTCTGTGACATTAGGAGTTTTGTGTTTGTTACAGTGACAGCACACAAAGTTGGGGTTTATGGGAAACAAACCATTTGCTCGTGTTTCAGTTCAGTGACTGGGAATCGCACAGTCGCAGCTCTGGTAAAGCAATTGATTGGCTTCTAAATGCATTTTAAAGATTAACCAAAGCAAATATGAGGCTTCAGCTGTCTGAGCAAGTCAAACCAAATGAAACAGGTGGTGAACCACAAAATATATCGTTTTTACTGTGGTCGGCAAAACACAGGCAAACAATTCCAAAGAGGATAAGGCAGAGGCTTCATCAAAAAACTATGGCAAGAGTCTTATCACCAGAGAGACTAAACTCAAGGCTGGAACACAGAAAGGAACCACTGAGACAAAATAATCTAGGCAGAGGAGGCAATAAGACACAGGAGTAACATGTTAGGGCTGACCAGACAAGAAAAGCTGCAGGTGACACACAAGGACAGGAAGTGATACCTGAAGTGAGAGGGGATGTTGGTGACATCAACTAGTGAGAGTGGTTCCTAGCAATGAGCATCTTCCAAAGTTAAAGCTTGGGCTGGTCATCCTGGAGAAAGGTTGGGTTGAGGGCCACAGACACCAGCTTTTCTTCAGACGACTTTATTTATTGATGGTTTTGGAGATTTCAACAAATGAGATAAAAAAGTGGGTCAGAAAAAACTTATACTTGTAATGTGTTTATATCAGTATTCTCTCTTTTTGTTATCTGTCATCAAGAAAATAGTGTCCGTATGAATGAAAAGAGGAACCCTCGCGCAAAGACTGACTATAAGTGGGCCATGTTTCAAAAACCAGCAAGTAGCTGTGTCCTGAAGAAGAAGTGGGTTTTGGAGGAAATGTAACAACATTAAATTGCATGTCAGGAACTTCTCTTCACTCCTATTTTGGGATTCTTCTCCTTGTTGCCATATATTACCTGCCATAACAAGTCTAAGGTCTTGAAAACGACTTTGTGATTTATGCAGTTTTTGCAAATGAATTCCCACAGGTGTCACATTTGTTTTCCATCCTCGCTGTCTTTCTCAATTTCACTCAGTTCTTTCTATCTCTCCTTTTCCATTCAGCATTATAATTGGTCTAATAATGGTGGAGATGACAGCTTGTGGCTGGGGCACCGTGCTCAGTCTAAAACTGCGCTTCACCCTGTTGTAGAATCCCATTATTTATAAAGCGAGAACTCGTATCATCTTTCCAGCCCACTGACAATCTTGGCTCTCTGCAGGTCTCCCCGTTCGGAGGTCACTTTTCCCTCTGTTTGTTCTCGTGCCACAACCATAAGGAAAATATTAGAGTTGAATCAAAGACAGCGTGTGCACAGGGAGGAACGATTTATTTTTCCTTTTCCCACAGAATACAAGATTGAGTAGTTTTCTACCTAAATTTCTTATAGTTCACAGAACAGTCATTTAAGTTCACTGAGGATATGAAATTGTAGAAGCCAGTAAAAAAAATCAACTGAGAGGAAAATAAAGTGTGGATACTCTCCCACCTCTCTGATGTGTTCACATCATATTGGCTCCAAACAAATCCACTCATGACCTTTAGAGGGATATCAACCAATAACATGAAAATTGAATCCGAATCAGAAATACTTTACTGATCCCAGGGGATCATACCAGAGAAATGACAAAATGACATGAATAACCTCATATTTGTTTTAGCAGGACCCTGAATTATAAACAGTAGCTGCAGGTTTTATTATTTCCCAACTTTGCCATGTAATTCTCAGCACTAAACAATGAATAATACAAACATGGTGCTGTTATGTCATCTAATAATTATTATATTAATTGTTTTGTGAGTCCAGTGAGCAAGTACAACAATTATTAAAAACTGTATATACAAGACACACATCACTTGATACAAAACAGAGAGAGAGAAACACTGCTGGAGCCGGTAAGCCTCTCGATGCTCAACTGGTTATAAAGCAGTGAGGCAAGCAGTCTGCCATTTTTCATGCTCTGTATCTAAGTCTTTCTCTCTATCAATGTGTGTGCGTGTGTGTGTGTGCGTGCACCATTTTCCCTCTTCTTGCTAATGATTTTTATGCATAACAAAAAGCAGCTTACCATCTCTTGGTTGGTGGTTGTTCCGTTGTCTGTCTGCACACTCTGTCTACTTAGCCTGTCCATCCATCTCCTCCTGAATCCTGTTCGATAAGCCCAAAACAAGAGATATCACACGCGCACAAAAAGAAGATTTGAATAAATCAACTCAGAGAGACCTACAACAATGCAACCGTGGCTAAAGCAAAGCAAATTGGAGAGTACCAAAGGGAAATTGGGGCATAAGCAATTAAATAGCTACTACTTGCCAAACTGGCAATACGAGAATAAAACAATAATCCGCCATGTCTCCAAAAATAAAACCCGACTACAGTTTAGTTGTAGGGTGCACTATAGCATTTACTATCATATTACAGTTTTCAAAAGACAAATTCATCGGAGGGAAAACCACAAAGCATTGAAACATGGAGAGAATACATTATAAATCCAAATATACCATAACTAATTTGATGGTGAAAGCAAAGTAAAAACATGGCAAATGAAAAATCAATCAGTGGAGGAGAGCGGTCGTGGACCTGTTTTGTATTAGCAGTGCAAAGAAGTTCAAGCTTTGCACTGATTGCTTATGCATTAGGTATCACAATTCAATTTTGACCCAAGTAATTATAGTCAGGTCTTTTTCATCAATTAAAACTGCACTTTCAAACATGAGAGAAGATTTTCACACAAAAGTGGTGAAAGATGCAAATCTCTGCCTCAACCAACTGTGGAAAAAGATAAACTTATCATGCATTCTTGGTTTAACCCATGTTTTCACACAACACTGGCTTTTTACCCTTAGGAACCTTTGACCTTTATAAGTAAATGCATTTTCTACTCATGCACTGTTTTTTTAAATCTCTGCTACAACACGATATGTCCCTGGAGCTCCTATTTTCACAGACTTTGGACTTTTATGACACACTAGAAACTGAAAAAAACATAAAACTTCTGATAAAAGCAAGTAAATATCTGCCAGCATATTTTTAAACTAAAATATGATTTTATGGAACTGTGGACTCACTTGGTTTTGAAGCTTGTGCTGCTTCTCAGGATCTAAGTTCACACCACACCTGCTCCTTGACATATTTATGCTTTCATTTTTTCCAGTCCATTGATACATTTTGACTGCACCGAGTTCTACACAATATTGTAATGATGTTGCGCTTCAACTCTTTCCCCCTCCTCACTTCCTCCCCCACTCCGACCTCCATTTCTGCTCTCCTCCTCCCTCCCTTCTCCTCCCTCTCAACCTAATTTATCTGCCATACTGTCACATCTGCAGCTCTCCTCTTTCTGCAGCTTTCCTTACACCCTGATCTGTTTCTTTTTCATTCCCAGTATCATACAACTGAGAGTCCTCCTGTGCAAAGCTTCAGGTGTATATGGTTGTATCATGGTTACCAAACACAGAAAGAGTATGACACAGAGACATGGTGTCAGAACGCTTGTTAGGGGAAATTTAGGTATAGATATGGTTTGACAATAAAGGGAGAGAGATATCGAGGATGGACTGAGAGAGAAATATTCTGTGTCATTGTTTTCATGGAACAAATGATTGTACCCTACAGGTTTGACAGTTAGAGGTTGATGTTGAACTGTCTCTTTCATTTCCTTCTCATCAATCAGACTTAGGTAATCAGACCCAATTCTTTCTGTCAATTACAGATCATTGTTTTTGTCAGAAGTCTGGTAGAGACATGTGGACTTTGCTATTGTAATGATGAAAGAAAGTGAACAAAACTTATTTACAGTGGTTTCTTGGCTTATTTGACCTATTTATCAATATATCTCGTAATACAGAAGTTTCATGACTACCAACAAGGAAGAACGTCACGCAATACTCTTCTCTACAGTTGTTTGACCCCAAAAAAGTACAATAAAGTATAGTGTATAAAGTGTAAATTATGATGAAGCAGTAAAGTACAGGAGAATGTTATATCGGCACAACTTTTTGTCCTGGTAGAGATGGATTATGACTTTTTTCTTTATGACGTGTTCTGGAAGAAACATCACACTATTATTGTAAAAGTGTTTCATCTTTGCAGTATTTGCTGAGAAAGTCGGAACAATATTTTTCTAAAGTATCACAAGAACTATATGTGCACTTATGGAAAAACGTTGTTTTTCTGTTGCAAAGTATTGTGTCCTGGCAAACATTAATTTACTGAGATAATGTGCTGTGTGTAAAGCTGATGAGCTTATGTGAGTGAGGTGAGCTAATGTAAATCAACTTTAGTTTAATAAGTTTTGATAATGGTTCATATTCAAGTTTTAAGAACCACACACACACACACACACACACACAGACAAATGATCCATATTGCCTTGTGAAACTCAAAAAAGGCACGTACTTGTTAATCAGGACAGATTTGTGTGAACCCAGCAGCAGGACCAGTAGCCAAGGGTTAAAGCTCGCTCAGGAGAGAGCTGGGCAGAGTTCAGTCCTCTGAGTCTTTTCAGAGATGAATTGAGCTTAGCAGGAGTTGAGCAGAGGCAGAGGTCAGGCAGGAAAGATGGAAGACAGAGAAAAAATACTTTCAATGAACCAAGTAAAAGCTGGAATGAGACTAACTGCTGTGCCTGTTACATTGGATTCCAGCCTTTGAAGTTGAGTGAGTAGATCTGAGTAGATTGCAGATGATCACCAGCTTGCTGCCCGACACCTTCACACCTGATCCCACTCCTGAAATAAGCACAAAGAGAAAAACAAGAGAGTGAGTTAGAGGAAGACAGAGGCCGTGTCTGAAATCACTCACTAATCGCTGTATAGTGAGTTGGCATTTTGTAGTGACGACTGTGTGTTTTGTGAAATTTGTAAGTCCCTAGTGCACTCGCTGTTTCCCATAATGCATCATGCATTGCGCTCACGGCGGAGAGACAAGAGGAGAGAGGGCAGGAGGAGCAGTTGTACAATATGGGCAGAGCGGCTCATCACAGCTCAAACTGCTGCAGTGTCAGTTGTCCAACAATGTCCAACACCCAGCCTCTAATGTTTCCATTCACAAAGCATCCAGAAAAAGGCCTTTGGCTGCTCTGACTTCATCTTTTCCCTTTGAGGCAGCTCTCCATTAGCCAGACTGGGAAAGAAGTGATCATAGTTATGAAATTATAAAATCTGATTCAGCCTTGTCTTTTCCTTCTTCTTCTCTCAGACATGATTGATCACTGCCAAAAATGCAGATAAGCAGCCATCCCTAAACATGATGTTACATAAACAGTCTGTCTTCCACCCAGTACCTTTTGGACATTTTACAGCTTTTCAATTTTCCGCAGCATCATGTTGCTGCAAATGACACAGTATTATTTCATCAAACAAGCTGTAAAGACTGCTACCAACTGTTATTTTCATTATCAATATGTCTCACAATTACTTTCTTTAACAGCAGACTTGTTGCCAATTATATTTCTGTCAATCAACATGAAGCCCAGTCAGATAAAGATAATAAGAGAAAACTGGTGTGCAGAAAATCCTTTTTTACTTCTGTTCAAGGGACAGTTTAAAAAAAGGTAGGTACAGGTGTGAACGGATCAGATTGACCAGACCACCTCTGGATGGTCAGGGAGGCATTGTGGCCTCACAAAACACAAATGTAAAATTGCATCGTCAATCCATATACAACAACTACATGAACACACAAACACACACACACACACACACACACACTTTTTGGGGAAAAGACTTTTGAAATAAAAGAAAACAAGCAGCTGTAACAACAAGAGAAGTTCATCAAAGTGCATTTATGATAAAGCTTCTTATTCATCACATACCAAAGAAAACGTGAAGACTAAGATAATTGCCTATTTTTGAAATGGGCAGCTATAACCACTTTTTTTTCTCCAAGAGCTAATAGGGGTTAAACTGCTGCAGGGATGTGACCATGTTCACAGGGGAAGAGAACTGATGAGGAAGCTCAAGGACACTTGTTTTTGAAAGGCACCATTTAAAGTTATTGATTTTTTTGTTCACAGGTGTTAGCAGTGATTTAAATCATGCTGCTGCGAGTGGGTTAGACCCAACGTTCACTTTTAAGTTCACATGTATTTTATACAGCTCACACCACTCTGTCATTGTATTTTAATTTGATTTCTGTTTTATTTTACTTCTTAAACTTGTTTTAACTTTTTTGTAAAGATTAATCCTTTTTATTTCTTTTACCTTTTTTAATCTCTTGGCCTCTTTTACTCTGCTTTTTTTAATCTCTTTTATTTTTGCTGCTTTAAACTAATTGTTTTAATCGCTCAGTACATTTTGACTTTGAACTGATTTATTTTCACTTTGTCACTGTGTTGTTTTTAATGTCTGTTCACCACCTTGAATCTGCCCAAACTAACGTGTACAATAACAGTAAATATCCTCCATTATAGTGGCAAGAAAAGGTTTAATTCTACCTTCCTTTAATCATCTCTTGTTTACTTCATTAATTCCTTGACCTTTGGCTTCATTTCTCATTCTACATCCACCGTCTGTGAATAGTTCTTTTAGCGCGATATTAGTATGGCACAGTGAGGGGGGGCAAGGTCTTTTTAATATGTAACAGCACGGAACATTTCATGGAAGAATTAGTCTAAAATGCCATGTAGTACTAAGGCAAAATTCATATTTCTGGCACGGTCGTCTCCAGAGTGGAAACCCTTTGGTGCCACATTCTGTCCGTTCAGCTACATTTGTCATGGGCAGTGCAGGGGGTGGCTCAGTGTAGCACGGGCGGACATATCAAGATGTGTGTTTATGCCCATCTGGAGTCGAGTGGCTGGTTTATAGCAAGAATGGAGCAACTTTATCTCCAACTACAGACTCAGCTCTCCATATGCTTTCTTGTCACCAGGGGCTGTTCAAAGAACTTTGGGACCCCCAGGGAAAAGGGACCTACATCCAACCAACTCTTTAATCAACCGTCTTAAATTACAAAGCTTTTATCAGTGAGTTAGTGGCATGGGGCCTCGTTAGGAGTTTTCTGACTATGGTGTTGTAACAGTCTGCTGCACATAGCTGATTTTTAATTTAAGGCGGTTCTCACAAAATTGTCACAATGAGCCACTTTCGGGGGCCCCCCTCTCAGCTCTGAGCCCAGAGAGTTATTTGCGGACCCTGTTGCACACCCCT